TTAACAATTGGTTCATGCTTTAGCGTGCACTATCGAGTTATGGAGCACGCGGGAAGTTTGGAGAGCACGAAAGAAGCGTAAGAGTTGCCCGAGGCGATAGCCGAGGGCAACTCTAGCTTCTTGAGTGCTCTCCAAACTTCCCACGTGCTCCATAACTCGATAGTGCACAGCTGAAAGCATGAACCAATTGTTTTAGAACATAGCCGGTGGAATTGTGCATCAAATCCGACGCGAAAAACTGACAACAATATCAATTGAAGTGAATCGTGACGGCGCTGATGCCGAGTCTCCTTTTCCGTTGTTTTTCTCTTTTTCTGCCTCATTTAAGAACTCTAGCCAAAGGCAAAAGGTCGAAAAATTGTCTTCGTTTAGGCACTAGTAGGCCGAGTCTCTGTTTGTATCCATTATTGTCGCGAAATATATTATTTTTCCCCGCGCTAACAATGGCCGCTCACGCGAATAAAAAAATTTCTGGCGAAGCGATTTGCTCACGCTATCAGCGTGCACTATCGAGATTTTGAGCACGCATACGTATACTTAATTTGATTGCGCGGCTCTGCTAGCTATGTTCTAATACCAGTCTGCATATTCTCCATAGTGCTCTCCATACACTTGTTTTCCAATCAAGAGAGTGTTTAGCGAAGTAATTTGGTTTTATCAACTGATGTGATAAATGTAAATTGACCACTGTAAAGAGTTACTATGCTGGCATTTCAAGCGTTAGCCCTTCGAGATTCGCTCTGAAGAAGGGCTAACGCTAGAAACGTCAACCTAGACACTCTTTACAGTGGCCAATTTACATTTATCACATAAGTGGATAAAACCAAATTATTTAGTTATACTCACCCACCGACGCTGTACCACAGTGTTTTCAGAAAGTTACCTTCTTTATTCAAGAGCTTGTTTAGTTCAAGATCATTTTTTGGATTCTCGAGACCTTAATGTGTGATTCAGGGCTGATATTGTAAGGAGAAATTAGATGTTAATCATTCTTGGGGGTCCAGGGATTCAGACTTCAACCTGACTATCTTAACAGTTACAGAAGAATAGAAATTCCATTGTAACAGATCATCAAAATGCGCGAATTGCAACTGCCAAAAACCAATCAATCGAAACATGACCATCATGTTACAAAAGGTGACGAGTGACCAATCAATCTAACAGATCTCTTTGCAAAAAAAGAGCGAGAGCCTTGGAACGAAAACTGCTGCGCATCATGCTGTCAAAATTTCGTGATTCACCTCAGAAATAAAGATGAAATAAAATTTTTCTCAAGTTTATCAAATAAACGAGTTTACTTAAAAGTCAGCCATCCTTTCGAAAAAAGATAGCAAAGATTCAGAATTAAACGTCCGTCTTATCTAAATCTTTGCCGGGTACAACAAGTTTGAATTTGAAATTTTGCTTCCACTATCTATCTAGCTATCAGAGAAAAGTAGCTTGTTTCTGTTACTGCAATTTAGAGTTTGTTAGATTTGGAGACCTCTGATAAAAGGCATAGTCAGTAAACATTATTTGTACAAACCTCCCAGTGTGCTGATCGGGTGATCTGAGTAAATGCTGATGGGAATGTTAAGATGTCGGCTCCCTGCTGGGCTAAAATAAGGGACAGCTCTGGAAAACGTACATCATAACACTGGAACAATCATCAAGTTAAGGATCGATGAGCACTTGAGAGAATGATATTTAGCATATGCTACTGTGCCCAGGTTACCATGACGACTGATTTTCTGGAAATAATTAGCCTTATTAAATGTTGTTGAAAAGTTGGAGGCATTCGGTTTTGTTTCAATGGGGATGTATTTATCTCTTCTGCTGTATCAAGTGACCAGGTAATTATATCACGTGATTCCCAGGTAAAGATAGACCTAAGAAGGACTGCTGTTGTTGATCAATGTTACAAAACTGATGTAAAAAGATGACGCCAGCTTACAAGCCAGAAGGCTCCCTCTTCTAGTTTTAATGACGAGTATGGCTTTTCTACACTGGACAGGATGCGAGTCTATCGCAGGGTTAACATTTTTTATTTTACTTGGTTTCTCTCGTAAATTATTAATCATTACTGTCCTATGCGAGGACAGTCACCTTGAGAGTTGAGTGCCTTGTCCCATAATACAGGATCGCAACCCAGCCACAGGTGGAAACCACACCTTACTCATCTTAGTTTAGTGCAATTACAACAGATCATCATGACCATCTGAGGCAACCATTAACCCTTTACTCCCTAACATCAGTATGCATATTCTCCATACTGTTCTCCATACATCTTGTAAGGCGCTGACAAGGAGAGTTTGTTTAATAATCAAGAGCTTCTTTAGTTGGCGATCATTTCCTTTATTCTCATGACCTTAATGTTTGATTCAAAGGTAATATTGTTGGGAGAAATTATCTGCTAATCATTGTCATGGGTAAAAGGATTAAAAGCTAAGTGGCCATACAGGCTGGGACTTATTCCAGGTTTGATAAAAAATAGGACATAAACAGCAGTGATAAACATAGTGAACTTGCACATTTTGATTATAACTTGACGTTTCGTGTGTACTCAACATACATTTTCGAAAC